TACCCTTTATAATAAATATTACACCGACATAAAAATATGCTAAGGAACGACACAGTTTACGTAGGTACCTAGTACGCAAACAGAAATAATACAATTTACAAATCGAAATGCATAACACAATATAATGTAAATATTTATGCTAAGCTAATAACCATTGTAGGTAGTTGATGCTATAGAGAATAATAAAAATAAAAAAAAACCGAAAAAAATAATATGTAATTTACGTTCATAAATTAGCTTACACAATTTTGTTCTATTTTTAATACCTATACRATGATCGTATTGTAACAAAAAAAATAAACAAATAAAATAAAATAGACAACGACGAAAATGTTTCGACGTAATAATTATAACGTTACAGTGTAAGTTCAATACCTGAAAATACACGTTGACACGATAATATTATATTATAGTAGGTAYCTACCTAGATATACATATTATATTATTGTATTATTAACTAACTGGTGTGATGGGTGGCGCGCACTTGTATCTGCGTGTTTATTATAACACCATAACACGTGTATTACAAATTGTCGATTGAAATAATTATTATATTAACGCATGTGAATATTACATTTTATGTGATAGACTTTTTAATTAAAAATAATTATCATTATAATGCTCTATCGTGTGCAACATGGTTCATATACACAATATAGTATTTTTGTTTTAAGTTTTGTTATTATTTTTAGTGCAGATCGTTCGACATTGTCGTATAAACGACGAGAACTGCAACACGATTATTATTAACGTTAACTGAAATGGCTGTACCTACCCATTACCGGGGAAAAACGATAAAACGTCTCTCGATATAATAGTTAGTAATCGACTTAAATGATGTTTTAACGTATCCGGGTTAAGACGTTCTCCGTCGAATGTAGTAAACCGAAAACAAAGTATTATTACGAGCAGATAGTTACATGTAAAATATGACACCGAAATGAGAATTTAAACCGTCTACTGTGTACATATTATGTCACCCAACAGCCTTCTCCAACATGCCAACCC